CTACTACTACTGCTACTGCTACTGGAAGGAAAGCCATCCTTCGAGGCCTGGAGCTCCCTGGGGCTCGCGCTCGCCCCGGCGCGCAAGGAGCCACCCGTCTGAGATCCCTCCTCGGCCTTCAGGGGATCGCCACCTGCCATGAGGGGGCTTAGGGTTTAGGGTTTAGAGGGCTTCAGTGATTGCAGGCTGGAGGTTCTCGCTTAAATCTCTCCCTGACGGGCGTCGTCGTCGAAACTTCTCCGAAGGTGTATATCAAGGGGCTTTTCAGCATCCTTGCATCATCATTCAGAGAGGGTGATCGAGAACGCTCGCAACATTGACATGAGACACTGGTGTTCGGAAGGAAACTGGGAGGGCTTCGATTCTGCTTGCGGCTCCTTCTTGTTGCCCCACCGGTGTCAAGCAAGCAATGCGGGATGATTCGCCAAACAGAGTTGCAAGGATATGCCAGTGTTGAGCCCAGGATCTGCATGAGAGCCTTCATGCCGGGAGATCTTTCGATTCCTGTGGAGGCTTCAGCTGTCTTCACGCACAAACATCTCGAGCTCAGAACCCGACGAGCAGTGTCGGGGAGCTTGCCTGCAGAACCGGTGAGCACTGCCCGACATCACCAGACAAACCCTAGGTGAAGCGTGCAGCCTAGAACGTTTATCCTCATTGGACTGTCGGTGCTTCTGACGGCGAAATTTTCCCAGCGTTGCAATCGTTTACATGGGTTTAGAGGTGTGAAAAGCCTTCGTACAGCAACCCAAGCTGTGCTGCAGCCGTGAACACTGCGGCGACCCTTGTGCTCCGCACCTGGCGGTGTAGCGTAGAACTTGAATGGACCTGGTGGTGCAAGGCTGCAAGGTCTGGCTAAACACCTTCCCTAACTCTGAGATGTCGCTACATCTTCGACCGATATGGACGGATGCGTTGAACTCAAAGTCATCTTTGAGGTCCCTTGCATCATAGACATGTGTGAGGAAGTCAAGGCTCACGTGTCAGCCGAATTTGACGAGGCGTGCACCGGGAAGTCGGATTTATCATAACAGACGTGGTGCTCCACATTGCATTGCATCTGGTGCTGAGGTGGCCACCGTCCATCGCAGATGTATACCTGGACAACTCACCAATCCGAGACGTCAGAAAGCAACTTCGTGTGAGCGCGCCCAAGGTCGGGCGGAGGCCCGCACCCGGACATCGGCGGAAGGCCGAAGCCGCCGCCGCCGCCGTAGGCGATCATTGAGGGTGCCGACCTGGAAGCCAGAAGTCAGGGCCTTCAGGGCCTAAAGAGACCTTTAAAGGTGCAGGCATGACGAGGAAAAATGCTGGAACATGGTGGAACGGGGCCCATACGCCGAAGCTCGGAGTGTTTGTGCGAGTTCTACCACACTCGTGCCTCAAGGAACCTCGCCTGTTGGACTTGCCGATGGTGGACGTAGGAGGGAGAATGATTCGAATCCAGAAGCCTGGAGTCCTCAAAGCAGCCTTGAACAATCAGGTCGGTCCTTTGGCCGTAGACCCAAGAAGGTGCTATGAATGCGGGCTCCCCGGTGTCGTCCTACATGAAGATACAGGAGCTCAGCCTCATCGATTTCGATACCCAGGCTTCCAATCCATGTGGAACCATCCCTCTCTCCGCATCATGACGGAGCCAAATCAAGGCGCAGCAAGCATGAGCCACGACAAGATGGCAGTCCGACCTCCTGCACACAATCTCGCTACTCTGCACATGAGTCTGTATGAAATGCCCAAAATCAGGGATTACTCAAGATGGAACCGAAAGCACGATCCAGCAGAACATGCTTGTGCCCGCCCGAATCCGCAGTCCAGAAGAAACCATCCTCCTTCGATCCTTCAGCCAAGCCGCTGCAGGGGGTTCATCGTTGCAGGTGGGACGATCATGGAGGGTGCGGGCTGCAGCGTGGCCCTCAGAGGATCAAACGCATGGGCTCGGCGCTCGACGATTTTCAGATTTGGGCTGCCAGCAACAACATGCTTTCCTGAAGGCCGGGCGAGGCTCCATATGCTGGCAGTTCCTGGCCAGCAGATACTTGGAGCTCAGAAGGGCTCAAGGAAACGTCCAGGTGCCGCTTGAACATTGCGACTTCTCCAACCTAGACCTAAACTCCACCCACTCTTCGTCCAAGCCCGGGCCACACCATGCGCTGAAGAACAAGCGATCCCTGTACTCCCGCTGCGTGCCTGTGCCGCTGGTGCCTCGTGGCTTTCCACACTCGAATGCTTGAGTCGAAGCGCTAAAAACACCAAACTCCGGAGTCCCAAAGCTAAGCGAAAGCGCCGCCAAGGCCTGAGAAAACACGTCGTCCTAGCTCAAACTCCGGCCTGTCCCTCCCCACCGGGCAAGTCTTACCCAAACCCAACAACTCTCCAAAGCCCTAAAAGCCCTAAACCCTGAACCCCAAACTCCTGCAGCCTATCCAAAGACTCCAGGGTCGGTGCGGCTGTGAATGAGCCGTTGCCGTAGGCAGTCGCTGCGGCCATGGCAGGCGTGCCTCGCGAAGCTTTCGATCTTCTGGAGCGCTGACGGCTAGGGCGGCTAGGATGTTTATGTGTACAGGGCAATGGAGGCTCCGATTGGGGTATGTTCCTACCGTCGTCGCATACTGACTCTGCGCGAATGATCTTGCTACTTGTTGAGGCTCCGTCTTGGATGTCCTCTTGGAAGTCAGGGTCGAGGATTGGGAAACGCGATTTTTGTTTTTGATCTGCAGGCACCGAAAAGCTGACTTTAAGCACACGCTGTCTGACGAGCACAAAACAGCCCCAAGGTTGCGGCCGTAGGTCGCAGCAGTCGTTTCTGTTGTGGGCGCTGCGGCATAGCTGGACCCAGTCACAGGTGCACTTCCGTAGTAGCCGCCATAAGTGTTGCCGTATGCGGGAAGAGCACTCGCATAGGTCGAGGGTGTGTATGCTCCAGTGTAGGCTCCATATGGGGAGCTGGTGCTTGTGTAGGCTGCCCCACCGGCAATCGTGGGTGTCGAGTAGCTGGAATAGGCGGGCGGCGTGTAGGCTGTGGCTGTGCCTGCACTGGTGGTTCCAGGCGTGTACGCAGTGCCGGGGGTGTAGGTGACACCGCCGTAGGTCCCCGGAGTGTAAGTGGTTGCCTGCGCCTTGGCATCAAAGTTGGCATGAAACTGGCGCAACGATAACAGAAGCAGACGCGACGCACGTCCTTTGCCGGGGAAGAGGCAGCCGGCAGCTCACCAGCAGAAGGCAAAGCCGACCCGCCAAGGGTGGTAACCTGCGGTGCCGGGGGCTTGGGGGGTTCTGAAACTTTGTTATGTTGTCTCGAGGGTTCGAAATGCTTCAAGAGAATTAGTTTTTCAAACTCTGTGGCTCTTCGCCGAAGATCTAAAAAGACCGCAGTCCTCGCCCTCGAGACTGGAAGCCAACTGTGGCCAATCCCTGCTTTGCCTTGCCTGCACGGCACCGTAAGGCGTGGTCTGCGCTTGGTACATGGTCGAGTAACCTGTCGGGACGATTCCACGAAGCGACAAATGCTGCTGAGCCTAGACGCCGGGAATGTTGATCCTCGATATCCGCCTACGGCTGCCACAAGAAGCATGTCGAATGGGGCTAGCGGCTCGCCAGTCGATGGAAGCAGGGAAAAGCCACAGAATCAGACCGAGCCGGCGCTGCTCGGCTGCTCATGCATAGAAGTTCCGCGCGCTGTTTCTGTGAGGCCCAGACGGAGAGCGCACAGCCGCAGAGCCGGGCTCGTGCAGCCGAGAGAAGGCGAAGCAAAGAAGCGAAGTCTAAGAAGACCCAAAAGAGTTACAGCCTGGAATTCGATTCTGTAAGCGGCATTGATCTCCGTTGGGACTGCGTCATGGATTTTGTGAGTCCGTGCACATGTGAAGACATCTCCGACATTCTGCGTACCTTGAGTTTCAGCGACGTTGTATTGAAATATTTCAGTACTTCCTTCCTCAAGGCAACTGCAAGGTGACAGTTTGGAGAAGCACTCAGCAACTGAACTCTCTCGCAAGATGCACCCTTTGATGTGCCATGACATGCTGATATCTCTTTCAAAACTGGACCTGCTTCCGGGGCATTACATTGGCGGACAACTGCGGCATCAAGCCCTCTGTTTCTGCGCATGCTCCGAGCCCAGGCACCCGGATGTGAGGTGCTCCCTTCGGAAATGCTCTGGAGGCACTGGCCAGGAGCTGCAGACGAACTCGCAAAGCCCAAGAGTGCCAAGCGTCTCCGCTAAGGCCAGGCTCCGAGGCTCCGAAGGCCGGAAAAGGAGACCTGGCAAGTCAGGGCGACGCTACTGTTCCGTGTTTTGATGTGCATCCGCCTCCCACCCGGACGTCTTTACACAAGCCAACAAAGAACTCACAGCAACAGCTAAAGTGAGGCTGCTGAGTAGCCATGGCACCCGTCTTCGGTTGACCCTGCGCAGTTCATCCATGTGCTAAGATATGACAGGAGCGGAAACCTGCAATCTTTGAGCCAACCCACTTCCAAAGATTTGCATCCAGAGATCTGCCGCGAAATCACTTAAACCCTTGCCGTTGCCCACTCCCAGTCTGAATCCGGCCGGCTCTCCGCTTGCGATCTTCGAAGCGACAGCTGGACGAAACAGCGCCAACGCAAGGGAAGGGTCCTAATTCATGCACATTCTGCCCGAAGAATGCCGGTGATCTTGCGCAACGCCGTGTCAGCCTCCTGGATGAACTTGTCGAATTGCAGCTTCGGCTCGGCGAGCTGCGACAAAACAGAGAAGTCCTTCTTCGAGGCTACTGAGTTCTGCATGACTCCCGTCTCTTTCGACTGACGCCTAGGCCTAGGCCACTGCAACTAGAGTATTCGCCAGCTTCTGGTCTCGCAGTATGTGAACTCGAGGCAGGGACTTGGAACCTGAAGAGAACGCTGTGCCGCAAACTCCTTACTGTCCGAGCTAAATCCACGGAACTCTGTGCTTAGGCCTTCGCCCCAGTCCTCTGTCAGTTTCGTTTTTGTGGAAAACGGGCTGTGAGCTTCGAACTTCCCTCAGAGGGTCCTAACGCAGGACCCAGTCGTGAGCTCGGCGGCTAAGTCCACACCATCTCCTGCTCAGCACCACCGCGTTGCCGAGAAACATGTCACAACGGACGGCGAGAGAATGGAGGTGCAAGTAGCACACTGGAACTTTGGTCCGTCACAGACGCCCGCAGAGTCGCTCTGGGATCGTGCGAAAACTGTCTGAGCTAGGCAGCTATTCAGCTACTCGCGTCATTGCGCGTGTCATGCAAAGCCCATGGCACGGCAGTCTTGCTGCTGCCAATTGAAACGGGTCTTGTTCAACACTTTCGATAACGACAGCTGTTGTCACTATCCACATGCATCAAAAATGCTAAGCTGTAGTGCTTAAAAGATGTCTTCCCCGATGATCAGGGAGGAGATGTCTTCCAAGTGCTTGATAGAATTCTCCAAGGCGCGGATTGCCACAGTTCCGCGGGCATGAGGGTCCTGGTCCAAGCACAAGGGGCTGTCGCTTGGCATTGGAGGCCTTAGCCGTCAAGCTGAGTTTGCCGCATGCAGCACAATTGCCCAGCAACTATCAATGTAGATAGTATACGATCACGCTGAAAGGTACTTCTGCAACACATACGGAATACTTTCCGTTTGTGATTCCAACTTTCCAGCAGCGCTGGTTCGCAGGGCGACTTTGACAGCTTCGCAGCTACAACCCATCGCGGCAGTTCCCCCACGAAGACGCATTCTCGTCATGTCAATTCAATTGCCCAGACTAAAAATGTCAAGTAGCAGGCTGTCTGTCAGTGATCGGTACAGCCGTTCACGCTCGTCGTCTGAGATGCCGCAGTCCACGGAAACTTTCTGGGCCTTCACAAAATCAAATCCGTACTACAAAGCTACTTAGCTAGTTCCTACGACGCTTTTGACACAGCTTAAGGAGTGCACAGGATGCAGCAGCAGCCCCCCAAACGTAACAAAACGTGTCATGATGTCCAATAATGACGTACTTTACTAGCGATTTGCCTAAAACAAAAAGACAGTCAGCTCTTACTCGACAAAGCCTGGATGTAACACTGCTAACCGCAAGGTGGAGCAAGACCTGTTTTGGAAAGTGGGAGATTTAGCCCAATCGCCCGCTTTGCACAGCCGCTTTGCTCCGGCATATGTTGAATCAGAGCAGGCTCGAATCTTGAAAAAGATCCAACTGTGGACTATGGAATCATCTGGCGCCTCCTTCACCACCTCGCACTGCAGTGGCGTCTCACTCGTGTGCCGCAAGGCAGCAAACAGTGCCTGCATCCAAGTCGATCGTTGAACTCATGTGTTCTTTCGGATTCCAACTCAGAGCAGCAACGACACAACACCAAAACCGACATCACTAGGAACAGCAATCACACGAAGCCCGGTCATGCCTCAAGCATCTTCTGGGAGTGCCCATCGAGACGATCCGTCAGGTCCTGGCGCAGACTGCCCACTCTCAGCCTCCAGTGCTCTCCGCTGCCTCGAGCGCGCACGCGCGCTTGAACACAAGCCGTCCCTTTGCTGCTTGCTGTGGTGGCTCTTGACTCTTCAAAAAGCGGAGCGTCTTACGGGGAGCAGGTCTTTCCGGAGCCCCGTCGGGAAAGTGATTCTACTGTAGTGGGCAAAGCCAGGAGACTCGGGGCTCCGGAGTCGTACTTCTAGACATGGTGATTACTGTTTGGAGTCCCAGAGCTCGTCCCTACCGGGCCTACCGCAGAGCTCCAACAGCATACTTGCAACACTTGGAGTCTTTAGGGTAGACTGCATCAAACACCATCTTTCTCGCAGAATGCCGCTGTCACTTGATATTTGCATGTTTGCAGGGGGAGCGCTACATACTGCTACATGCATTGCATTGCGTGTGTCTCCAAATAGCAAGAATTCTACGGAGGGCCGTGGGTTTTATGGAAGACAATGTGCTCAGTCTCCTGGATCGCAGGGTGCCCAGCGAGGGGCTGCAGAATCAGCGAGGTGCGCTCCGCATCATCCGTAATGAACCCCTGGTCCAAGCAGGCTGTCCAGAGCCTCCAAAGACAAGCTGAGTCCGAGTTCTTACTCAAAGGTTCAAGGGACTTGGCGATGTGGCTACAACTGGAGTCATAAGTCGGACAATGGGCTCTATCATCCGGAATGCCATTGGTGTTCGTGTGACATGTGGTTTTGCTAGTGCTGCTACAGTTACACGTCTGTACACATGTCAAAGCCGCCTATGAAGTGGACAGAGGGAGCACTTGTTCAAACGCAAGCCATCAAGTATGCCAGGCGACAGTTTGTGTGGACAGGCTCTCGGTGCAAAGGAATCGCATGGAAGAGCTACACGGCCCGACACTTGTTCTAAGCTCTGTGTTGCTTTGGCTGACAAGGCCGTAGCTTGCATGCGACATACCTAGAAGCCTAGCAGTGTTCTGGTGATTGAAGATGGATCGGTCTTCGTACCTTGCTACATTCGGCTACATGATGATAGTCGTCCAAAAACCGACCCCATTGTGCGAGGTCAACATCACCAAATGTGCAATGTCAACATGTCGCGAAAGTTACTGTCAGGGCCAGAACTCGTCTGACAACTAGTCACGTGTGTCGTTCTGGGTTGTGGTTGCCTAGTCATCCGGATATGACTAGATTTACGAAGGACCTGAACAAGTACTCTAGAACAGTCTGAGCATCCGCGGTCGCAAACTAACCCCGCAAAGATAACACAAGACTCGACTATCCGAGTTCCGTGCTTAAAGTCCAGAACCGCCCGAACAAGCATCAACCAGTCAAGTCAAACAAATAACGTCAACACAAAGAACCGCCACCTTCTGCTTCTCTCTTCAATGCTCGGATTGCTCAAACCTGTTCTTCAGGGTTTGTGGCCCCTAGCCCAACGCAACTAAGCAGCATGTGAAAGTCAGACTGAAGCAGCTGCATCTTCTCCAGGCTGCTGGAGTAGAGCCGAAATCTGGGTTAAGCGATTTACAAGCTCGAAGCTCACACTTCCATGACGGCAGTGCCCCAACACGAACGGAAGCATCAGATCCGGTGTGGAAGCCATGCGACCGTGGCTGCTGTCCGCAATAAGCATCGAAAGCAACGATGATGAAGCACAAATTTCAGCCCAGAAGCTTGAAATCAGCCCGCCAACAAGGAGCCAATCGCACCTGAATTCTCAGGAACGATGCAGGGCGTCTGCCTCACACAGCAAAGGCTTCCGCCCAGGCACGCTGGGGTCTGCCTCCGCCATGTAAGTCTTTGCCTCGTCGAGGTAGCGAAGGGTCTCGAGGCCCTTGGCCATCCTCGCTCGCATGCGCCGCTTTTCGTGCAGAGCTTTGGCTTCCGCCGCGCGAGTAGCAGACCTCTTGGGTTGGAGGATAGCGAAGGCCGTGGTGGCTACCCTTGTCAGAAGGCGACATCTACTAAACTACTATCGGTTTACGCTCAGGTGATGGCTCTTCCTGCGCTGCGTTGCAATGTGCATCTTCCCTGCATCGCCAACGTGCTTCGAGCAAGCTGCAACTTAAGCTCAAACACGCCTGCATGGTCAGTCTGTCGACCCTGCTTGCCCTCGGTCGATATGCATGCATGTACATAACATACGTATGTATGTACATTCGTAAAACACACATGTCATCACAAAAGTCAGAAGCCGGAACAAGCCATGCCATAAACAGGTTGCAACATGAACCGTCCAGTGCCCCGGTGTTTGGGGGCGTCGGTGGGTGGGTGCAGTCCGTATGATCTCTTGAACAGAAAACTCCAATGTTAGTACAAGCATCTTGTTGAGGTCCACCTGGAAGAAGCCCTGCACGGGTCGGCGAGAGGTGCGGAGTCAATAAACCAGGGTTCTGTCTACCCGCTTGCAATGGTTTCACTGCCATCGTTGGATGGCGCAGAAACTGCTGACTTCCGGACGGACGAGAGCTACCAAAAGACTTGGCTTGGACACGACATACACACACTAGCAACACCTGCCAACCAGCAAGACCCGACCATAACCAGGACGACAGCAAGAATCTGACCTGCAGCAGCCACTGCAACAAGCACAGCGAATGCAATGAGAAGCATCGCATCGTTCGCATGATGATGTAACATGTGACTCTGGCCTAGTCTACGACAAGCCTCACATTACAGCCATCATGGCAAAGGCCTCGTTGTGAAGCTCTGGCACCTGCGCCCCGTCTAAACAGCCGGCCTGCAAGCCTTCGCGGAGGCAATGCGCCGCCCGTTCCATCTTCCGGACCTCTGCATGGCTCGCAATTCAAACGAACGCTCTCAGCTGTTGCTGTTCCACTATGTCTGAGGTCTGTCTGTGGCAGAAGCAGCGGCACTGTGGGAGAGGACGGCAGTAGCCCAAGACAGCACCACCGTAACACCTGCGGACTCAGTGGCGGCCAGCTCGCCGGGGGGACTGGCGTGCAGGGCAGACTCGATGACAAACCTGAAGCCGTGCAGTCTATTTCTTCCAAAAAATTGTCGGAAACAGATTTTCGCAAACTGCAGACTGCAGCAACTGAAGCACCATGGCGACCGTCACCTGTCCGAGTTCCTTGTAGAGTCCCACATAGTAGCTGTCCTGCACGCAATAGCTCAGCAAACACCTTGCTTGTAAGCTCAGAACAAGACTTTCGCTCCAGAGGAATTCGCACCTGGTTGAGGTCATCGCACGGAACCATGAGCGGATATACACCATAGCCGGCAACAAGAACCGCGACAGTACTCCACATCTTGGAGCTGAAGTAGATGTAGCACCACACGCTCACGAAGAGGAACAGGGACAGGAGCTGCAAGATCCCACGTTCGGTCGACCTTCACCAAGGGCTCTCGCTTCTGAATGCACTGCTGAGCAGCAATCTAGTCAGAGTCACTTCAAGGCCTCTTAATTGCGACTTCTAAGTGGTAGCCGCTACGAGTAGCTCAGATCAGCTGTTGTTGCTCTTGCTCCACAACTGCATAACTCTAGGATAGCATACAAAAGGCACGAGTATCGAACAGCAGAGGCAACCCCGCAAGGCTGCGCTTCGATAAGCATGAAGGGCCGGGCCCCGAAAAAGAGAGGCTTCAAGTGACCCTGAACTCCTGAGGTGTCTGCTGGCAGGGGAAAGCCACCCATGTGGCTTTGAAGAGAATCGGCAAGAACTTGCCCAAGAGGACACCCAGTGTCCTGCAAGATGGGACTGGAAGCATCTGTGAAAGTGAGCCCAATGAACCCTAGCTTGCGCATTGTAGCCTAGGACCACTCTTGACAGTGCCGGCAAAGCTCTTATTCTAGTCTGTCGACCAGGGTCACAAGGGCGGGCCTGTTTGTGATTGGGTCTCCCCGAGTTTGCTTCCGTTCTCCGGGTCCTGTGGAAATTCTTCTGGACGGCGGACGTGGAGAAACGGGTGATCAGGAGCCTCAGTGTGGCATGTCTGTTGTCTCTGCCGGGTCCAAGACAAAGTAAGGTCGAGCTCTCGCTCCTGCACCTTGACCACACCTTTTGCAGCTAAAAGGCGCCAAAGTGTTGGCCATGGTGGCATCGTACTGGATGAAGATGCAGGTTGATGGGACCGCGTACCCGAGGATGAAGCAGGTGGAGATGGGAATAAGATTTCGGAAAGCAAACTTCAGATGCTCTCGTTCCAGCACCTTGGTGTTGGCCAGGCGCAACCCGAAGAGCCCACACGAAAGGCGTGACGCTGACAGAAATCACCTCTGATATCCGGCAATCCCCACTTGGCCCACCTTCTCCGCACCCCAGGTGTCCCTTATGCCACTGCAAACGATGCCGCGCCAGGACATTCGCTGCTCCGGCGTCGACAGCACTCGCAGCAAATCTTGAGTGGTTGAAGTCCAGCAAGACAGCGCAAAAACGAAGGTGACCTCAGGAAAACAACTGCAGTGGCACTGCAGGTGCAGGAGGAGCTAGGAGTGGGGGCGGTGTGGAAGAAGTGGTGGGAGGGTTATTTCGTCGCACTGTCCTTCTTGCTGCTGTATCTGGTGTGGCTTTGGCTCTGCTCCAGCTGGCCTAGAAGTGGTGCGACGGGCTTGCAGCTAAGACGCTTCTTCCGCCAAGTTGGCGCAGATTCCCGACTTGACTGCCTCCCGGTACTGCTGCAGCAGCTCCCTCTGGCAGGTCTCCGCTTCCTGGATGCTGGCAGCTTCAGCAAGCAGCCAAGCGACAGCCGCAGTTGCCGTAGCAGAAAAAGCTGCGCTGAGTTTAGCAGCGTCAGGCAATGCCTTAACTGATGAACTGTATAGAGTTGACGGCAGGTCCTCTGCAATGCTTCGAATCTCGGTCTCCTTCGCAGGGTATGGCGGCTTCATAAGCTATGTGCTGATGGCTGCACGTGAGGTCTCGCTGACCAGAAGGGAGCACAAGACAGGATTAGACAGTGAAGCAATAGAGTGAACTTGTCTCTCCCCGGACCTGGCAGCCCACCAAATCGCACATACCGATCTCGATCCGAATGATAGCTCTCTTGCTTTTCCGGCTTCCCGGCCAGCGGCTACTTATTGTTCTTCTGCTGCAATCCTACTGGTTGTCGATTTTGCATGTGCGCGTCTGGAAAGGCTGCTATTATTCCCTTCGTCATGCCTGTTACCGCAGTTCATTCAACATGCAAACCCGACACCAGTACACCGTTCCTCATCTTCGGAAATGGTGCCATCAACCGCAGCTCTGGCGCAGGCCACGATAAGATTGCCTCCGTTGTTCCCAACGAGTAGACACAGAAAGTGTTGGTCGCTCAAACACTCTGCTTTGCAAGAGGACCTACGACCCCGAGAATAGGAACCCTGTCATGATGCACAAGCTGCTACTGACGAAAAGGCAAAGAGCAGCGAAGTTGCTTGCTGCGCTGTGAAGGTTGCGAATACGGTCGCCCAGCTTGCCGCAGAACTCGCAGTGCTGCCCACCTGAAAGTGCAAAGTAGGCCTGCCTGTGCCGTCATTCCCTGCCCTCCCTGACCGAACCGGACTTCGGCTCTTCGGCTGCTTCGGCTCTCCGCTCTGCAGCCTAGCCGCTGAAGTCTTCGGAGGTGATGGAATTCCCGAGGCTGTACATGGTGCGCTGCACATTTTCGGCACCTAAAGGGTGCGGCTGCTTGGCAGGGCCTAAAGTCTGAAGCAACTTGCAAAGTAACTCGCTTGCTGGGAAGGATCCCTTGCGCCTGAGAGGAATGCATGGAGCTTCAGCCGGACCTGAGACAAAATGAGACCGGAAAGCAGTGCGGCTAGCCAAGGCAATGATGCTGGTGCTGCAAACACTTCGATTCAATTCAGAGGAAGAAGCAGAAGCGGCGAGAGTAGTAGTAGTAGTAGTAGTAGTAGTAGTAGTAGTAGTAGTAGCAGTAGCAGCAGCAGCAGCAGCAGCAGGAGTAGTAGCAACAGCAGCAGCAGCAGCAGCAGCAGGAGTAGTAGTAGTAGTAGTAGTAGTAGTAGTAGTAGTAGTAGTCGTGGTGGTGGTGGTGGTGGTGGTGGTGGTGGTCGTCCTCGTCGTCGTCGGACTAGTCGTCGAGGTCGTGGTTGTGTTCGCCGTGCAATATCGAATAGAACCGGCGGAAGCACTGCTAGTTTGAGCATACGTACTGGTCCCGGCGGTACTACTGATAGCAGTACTGGCAGTACAAACCACGCATCTCTCGGCGGGCCTGTTCCGGGCTTCCACACTGCCATGTCTCCCACCAGCCGACCTGAACCTCCAGGGCTTGAGTGATGTCGCAGGACGGAGCACATGATCGAGTGTACCACGGAGAAATCGTGCAGGTCTACTTCTCGGCTTCCGTCTGAGGCTGCAGGTCCCAGAATGCTCAAATGACGAGCTCCATTTGGCTCGCAAAGGCTTCCCAAGACCAGGAGCTCAAAAGAAGTTGACAACATGTTTGCTCCTAGCGCCCTCAAAACCTCTTTTCCCATCAATGCATTCCTACGTGCTGTGACCAGTCTGCGGGTGTGGTGCTGCATGGTGGTTCGATTCTTCCACTACGTCGGACTCGAGCACATCCCAAGGACTAGAACGCATATGGTGAGAAGGCCCAACTTCTCTGGAAGGTTAGTAGGTTTGGCCGTAAACCATCGAAATTTGCCTGCTTCTTGGTCTCCAGCAGCTTGGACCGCACGTCGGCAATCTCAGTGCTTCGTTGAGAAATCACTTCTACTGGCTACCCACCTTGGGCTACTGGTCAGGAGACAATCCTGCCTACAACAAGGCCAACCAAACATCGTGACTCACAACAGTCGTATACTACACCGACTAGTGACAATTCTTCCGCATATACCGTTTATGTTGTCGGATCAACCGTCATGAAGCTACTGTGGGTTGGGTGTTCAGTGCCCAGTCTGGCGTTTGATTTCAAGTCTAAAGACTATCCGTTGTAAGTTCCTCCTCCTACGATTGCGACGATCTAGAAACGGGTAATCTTGGCCCTTGGGGGCAGGAGGCACAAGACTTCGCGAGGTCCGTTTCCCATCGTTTCCCAGGAACTCCGAATTGAACTTCTGAAATCACACCCAGAAACTCACTGGACCATCTAACACAGATCCAGATGGTGGTCAACACAGTCTCCGAGGGAAGCACCTTCCTCTGCAGCTGGAATTTCTTCGCATGCGCTTTGCTGCCCAGCATGTACCTAAGAGTGCAAAGCCCCTGCACGAGGTCTAAAGGCTCGGCCGGCCAGGTCCCCTGACTGAGCCGCGGGCTCCACACTTTCTTGCCAGACTGATCCGATCTTCTCCGCACAGTCCAAAGAGTTCTGTGAAACCCAGCAGCGGTTTGCGAGGGGCTTCATGCAACAGAAACACCTGGGAATTATCGTCGCCAGGATGGACACAACTGCGCCAACGACTGACGTGAGAAAGACGTCCGCGGTCAAGTCCTCGGCTCTGAAATCGGTGTTGCTGATGCTCGGCGGGTACCCGCTCATCCCACTGCAAAGGGAAACGCAAAACAAGTGAGGCACCAAAAGTATCCCTCCTCGAGTCGGAGTCAGCCTGTTAAAAGGGCTGCGGGGCTGTCGAATCGCTTGAAGCCTCCGATGAAGCCGGGGAGGGGGGTCTCGGGTTGGGAGATCCTCGGCTTCAGGACTCTAAATGCGTCAGGGACTCGTTCTTCCAGAGGTTGAAGCCCGTCAGCTCCTCCATTTGACCTGATGGCATCTTCCTGAGTCCAGATAAAATGCATGGGGAATCCGTGCCCAACCCCGCTTGGGACTGAGATCTGAAATACTTTGGCCTAAGCTTCAGAAGGTCCGAGCTAGAGACTTTTTTTTGGGCCTCCCCGGTTCCAAAAAGACTGACATCTCACAAAAGCGGCGCCAGCAAGCCGAGCATCTTGGTGGGATTCATGAAGTCCATCATGAAGAAGACATGCCATGACATGCCGAACTTGATGGTGTTTTCGTTGGCCCGGGAGAAGAGGAATAAGAAAAGGACCAGAATCACGTCGGCCATGACGATCGCCTCGTTGTAAGGCTGCGGCACGCAGTCGGCTGTCTCACAAACGGCCCCAGCCGCCCCGCCGGGATAGAGGAAAGTCATGAGTTCCAGGTTGATGCAAGCGAACAGCGTCCCAATCAGGCCCTGCCAAGCCAGGCGAACAGTGTCCCCCGTGCTGACATAGACCGTGAAGACGATGAACTGCGCAATGTTTGGCCAGTAGTCCTGCCAGACCGCTGGCAGCCAGCCGCACCAAATGAACTTGTCTCCAACTGTCAACTGAGTCGGCCAGGGCGTTTGACCAGTATATTGCACCCAATGTGGGTTTGCCTGGTCTCCGATGTTCTCCATCCTTCCCACCATGTTATCGCTGCAAGCGACCTCTTGGTCGTGCAGGTCCTTCGTCTCATGGAACACAGCATCGCCACGACTGCCGAAGAGAGAGAAGTAGGGAGCTGAGAAATAGAGCGGGATGGCGAAGAGTGCGACCCAGAAAGCCACGGAACAGGCAAGCGAAAGGCGAATCACAAACTTCTGGTGTGAACTGTGAAAGGCAGAAGTCTGCTTCCAGAAGGCCTTGAGCCTCACACAGCACTCTGGCTTCCCAGTCTCTTCGTCCACGGAGCACGTCTGGCCCCCTGTCGACCTCGATGAGGTAAAGGCTCTCACGTAGCCTCTCACATCCAGCATCGACATGGCAGGATCCGGAGCTAAGAGAACGAGCTGAGCACCTAACTAAACCAGCGTCCACCTGACAGCCAACTCCAAGCACATGGGAAGAAAGCTTTCAAGGAAACCCGAAAGGCAAGCAGCTTGATATCTAGGAGTTGCAGTTGTTGGAGCAACAGGGTTGCAGCGAGTCCCCAAAAGCCCCCGAACGTGCATCCTTGAACACTGGTGAGCCCATCCCCGGCGCCCCACAACTCGCCCAGAGTCCTCTGCCAAAGTGACACCTGCGCTGCGACGGTGGCCTGCCACCGAATTTGGAAAGTTCTGTGGGTTGTGCAACATGAGAGCATAAGAACTGCGACTGCGAGAGGCTATGAGGAAAGACATTGAAGCTCCCGGCATGTCGCAGAGCAACAAACATGCTTCAGCCATTTTCGCTGCGACCGGGAATCGGTCAGTTAGGGATGCGGGAAAAATCAGAGATCCAACTCATGGTTGGTCTTCGGAATGAACCGGATGACCTCACCGGAAGCAGCTGTGGGATTCCTCAGCTGGCGACCTGGGCTGCAACCGGCACCCCATGCTAAGATCCGAATGTTCGACTACACCGCCATCTGTGATGCCTCGCTCCAGTGGAATCGGAACTGGCTTTATACCCTACGGTCCTCAAGTTTTCACGGCGTGATACCTTTCCCAAGCAGTTCTGCCTTCAAAACTCGATGGAACCGGACAGCAAGAGTTTCGGTCGTGCGGGCATGACCAAGACTGAAACGCAAACGAATTGCACTGACAGTATGAACAACTCTGCGTGTCAATGTGGGATTTCTCTTCAATTCACATCCGCGGAGTTGGAGTCCACAGGAATTGGGAGTGCTGTGACCAAACTTGAACAGAACGTGTTATAGGTTGATGTGACTACGGACTTCTGTAAAATGCAACCACCCACCGCCCTTGCAGCACTGGCACGCCCTGGTCTGCTGAAATGTCAAAGTCCATGTTGGCAAACCTCAGGGATGCAACTTAGCATCAGGTGAACCTGTCCACTGCGAGAATTCACCTTCAGGAGACGCCGAGTCCCTTTTGCTGACAGACGTGCGACGAGGGAGCGACTCGCTCCGGAAATTTTGTCTGAGCAGACCGGTGACTTACGCACTGGCCGCATCGTGAACGATCGCGCCAAGACCTGACTCAAGTCCCAGGCGTGATCGACAGCCATAAGATCGTGCGTTGCACATGGCAGCCGAAGCTGCTGAAGGCTTGCTGCACTCAAAGCTATGCGAGCATCACGCTTACCATCGCGCTGGAAGGATCGCATGTGGTCTGCCCCGTTTCGGGGTGGCTTGAGAGAGCATGAAGCATCCAGCAATTCCACCGTCGTTCGGAACGGCGGCACCGTCATGGCAACCAATAGATGTCCTTTCTTGAAGTTCTGCTTGTACTTTTCAAGGTGCGCCTCAAAGTTCACGGAGGCAAGGCCCGAGCATCCAATGCACAGACGGCCCGGACTTTGATTCCCATTGCTTCGGCCGCCAATGTGAGCCTCAATGCAGAGTCGAAGCCCAAGCTCCATCCAATTGCCACCAGGATCGTGTCTCCGCCTCGGCTAGCGAGGGCTACCAGCTCGCTAATCTAAAGCATTACCTGTCAGACATTGAACCTCTGCCACAACACAACATGCAGTGCCACCACGTCCTGTATGTTCTCCAAGAATGAAGGAAGCCTAACTCAGGAACTGAAAACACTGTTCAACCTGTGTACGTACATATGTTCTATTGGAATCCACGGATGCCTACGGAGCCGCTCTAGCTTCTACGACGCCAAGACGCTGCAGTAGCGGACCAAGAGCACTTGCATCTGTGAGCTGGAAGTGTGCCCGATCCAATGCTGGATGGCCACAGTGGGCCGACAAATCACTGCAGACGGCAGCAATGGCGTGAGAGACCAGAAGGCTTGACTGTCCAGGCCGTGGAACTCAAGCCCCTCATTCAGGATTGTCAAATGCGTTTGCTTTGCAGAAACTCGGGGTGAAGGAGGCCTGGAAGCTGCGGGCGCCTCTTCGCTCTCCAAGGCCCCCCGCTGCACTTCACCGGCAAACTGCTCCGCTGGTACTCACGGCTGAGGTGTCCCATATGTGCAGCGCAGAAAGTGCAGAGGGCCAGAACGGTGCTGGGCCGCTGCAGGGCGCCCGTGCAGCGCTGAAGCCGATAACCCTATGGCGCTTCGGGTGCGGGAGAAGGACCTGGACAAATCTCCGACATGAACTGCCCCATGCACAGATGCGCTTGGGTGTAAGAACTTCAGGCACGCAGGTGGCCAACTGCTGGTAATGGCATGTAGCATGTGTCCAAAGCAACGACAGAAGAGTTTTTCGCGTCACAAAGAGTCGAAAGATCCTCCTCCTGACGCCGCAAGCATTCTCAGATGGAGGTCTGCGTTTTGGGCGCAATGCCAGGAAGTCGCGAGCCCAGGATCGCTCAGTGCTCGTTTTCGTAAGATGGGTGACGATGGCTACCGCTGCTAGAGTCTCTTCGTCGCAAGGGCGTGCAGTGTACTTGGGCGGGAAGCTTCGTTCAGCTCATCCAACACACACGAGAAAAGCACATGCCGTATGGCGACTAGCACTGACTGTTGCTCATGCCGATCCTGCTCGGTTCAAGCGCAGCACGCACGAACAACACGACTGCCGTGCACATGCCTTGAGCTGCAAGTATCGACAGGCTCGAGGAATGGCTCTTACCCCAACGGAATTGAGGTTGCAGCGGGCTCCTATTCGGGAGCGGCAGAGGCTGACATCGGAAGAGCTTTCAAGGCCATGGTGTTGTGACGAAGCTTGGCTTGTGCAGTTGCAGCCCTGGGCAGATCGCACGGACACGCGAATGATCACAAGGCGGCAAGCTTGACATGCAACATAGGAAAAGCGGCGCATCGCAAGATGAGGTTCACTTCAGTGCACCGAGTCGCTCAAGCCAACAGTAGGTGGGCCCAGCCACGCGGTCGGAGCTGAAAGCTGGAGCTTTTGCTTTTCCTTTGTGCAGTCTGTCCAACCTCGTTATTGCCGACAGGCAGTGCCCAAAATCCTAAAATGCTGAAATGCACACTGATGGCGATCGGGCACGGTGCCATCCAAGGCCAAAGCAATCCTCGCCATGCAGAATCGAGTCTGCTTTCATCTTTCGTGGCAAGCTTGGATGTGTAGTCGCTGCATGGCAGAGCAGGTGTACAGCCTCTGGGGCAATGACATTGGAAGGGAAACGATTAATGCGGCATCGACCTTCACAGTTCTGATCCACGTGGAAGTCTGCCTCTGAAAAAAGCCTTTGGAGTGAAAACGCCCTCCATGTTGAAGCCGAAGCTGTGGGCACGGGGTGGCAGCAGTCCCTGCCTCGAAAGCGCAGGCAGCTGTGCACAAGGGCTGGTGATTGGCCACAGGCGGCTTCACAGGATGGGAAGTCGGCTTCATATACGAATATAAATGCGATCTGAGACTGGAGTTCCAAGAGCATTCAGCAGGCTAGAGTAAAGCAGTCGTCGGGCGCTTCGCGATATCTGAGAACTCTTTGACGCTAGTACTTCATTGCCTTGCCGAGGCAGCTTCTTTTGGGGCCCCTCCTCGTGCTCTTGCATCTGGAAAAGCGACAACGGCTTCGGACACACCATAGCCAGGAGTGCAAGCGAGACGGCAAGGTCGAAATTGAGTATCGACAGTTCTCTCAACCTGCCGCTGAAGCTTCTTGGATCTTCGAGGACGGTGCGACACGTCTCTCATGTGCGCATCCCAAGCCTAGTTTGATAGCGCTTGTGGAATTCTGGATGCCAGACGGCGAGTTTTCATGCCGCGGCACCGCAAGACAGTACGTGGAACTTGGCTTTTTCAGCTTGAAGATCTGCGCAAAGCTCCCAAAGCACAATCCACCAATGCCGAGAAGGTGCAACAAGGAACCTTGCAGCTGTCGTTTGGCCACGGCATCGATTGATGCACGGGCCAGCTGAGCCGTTTCCATCAACAGCCTGCCTTGTCTGGATGAAAACCGAAGAAGTACTTGGTATGAAAGGACACGGGGCCCCGGGTAGGCCCTACACATATCGATTCCCGGCTCTCTCACTCGCGGAGAAGGTTTTTCTCGAACTCACGTCGGCTCAGTGACTGCGCTGCTGACAAAAGATGAGACATGGGAAGGCCGCATTCATCGGCATGAGGTGCTCAGGATCATCGTTCCACTGAGCTGAAACCTAGGAAAAGGGATGACTCTGTCCAGAGTCGGTCCCAAAGCGGAGCCTCTGTCCCCGCAAGCTCCCTCAAAGAGGGCGGGTGGGCACCTTGAGCAGATATTTTACACAACGACTGACCGTGCTTCGGCCTGACATCTTCCCGTGCTCGCACTACCAGATTCCCGGCTCTCTCACTCGCGGAGAAGGTTTTTCTCGAACTCACTTCGGCTCAGTGACTGCGCTGCTGACAAAAGATGAGACATGGGAAGGCCGCATTCATCGGCATGAGGTGCTCAGGATCATCGTTCCACTGAGCTGAAACCTAGGAAAAGGGATGACTCTGTCCAGAGTCGGTCCCAAAGCGGAGCCTCTGTCCCAAAGTCAGTCCCAAAAGGAATGTTCACCAAAGGGTGGGAGCACAGCGGGAGGGCGCAGTCAAAGCAAAAGCGAGATGTCGGCAGAGAGCGACCGGGTACCTGTCGATGAGAGGCCCGCCGTGTCCTGCCAGAGCGCGTGAAGTGGGTCGAAAATGAGGCCTGTGTGTACGGCAGCAGATGGGGCCCGCACATCGACGATCCAAGCGATCCAAGTCCTGGGTATCCAAGTGTCCACACAAGAGTAGGGTGCGTCTGCGCCAAGGACATCCGT